GTAACTTAATATTAGACTTGAATATAAGTACGGTAATCCCACACCAGAGTCCAAAGTAAGCCTACACCTACTCGGCCGGCCATCCCTGGACCTCAGTTCCCCCTTACGAACGCCCTCGAGCGTAATAATACGACGGGATACTAGATATCGGTACTCTCTGTGCTTCTAGGTGCAAATTGCGACCACCTATGCATCGTCGTCCCTGTTTCTCCATTTCCAGCCTGTACCTGCGTCTCTCTTCCTGTCAGCAAGCTCCTTCTAGCCTGTCGTTCGAGAAGACGACTCTGTTCTCTTACTGGTCAGACTTACTGAAAAGGCGACTACGTTGGATTATAACATCTATTTAAGTGGATCTTTAGCATTAAGAATGGTTTTAAATTTAGGATATTTATTCGTTAAGAGATTGGTGAAAATGAAGAAATGTGCAATCTCGATAGGATTTTTGAAAGGATGTTCGAAGATTCTTTTAATTATTCGTTAATGAAGATGGATGTTAGTTAGTTCGAATTGTACTATTATAATTTTATATTTTCACATCCTGCAATGGATATATAAAGAAAAATGATAAGGCGAGGATCGATATTTGCCTAAGACTAATTTTAAAGTATCCAAGTAATTAAATCTAGCGATAAAAACAAATAATTAAAAAATTTATTTAGAAAGAAACTTCGTTCTTTTTACGTTCTTTTTGTCTTATTAATGATATATAACATCCGTGACGCGGAATTGCAGAAATACGATCCCGTTTTTCAATGTTTTTTTCAGACAAATGCCGCTGTGAGCGCTCCCCGAAGTGCGACGACCTTCGCGCTGCGAAGAACTAGGATAAACCAGTGGTCTACGTATCTCTTTGGACGTAGAGTAAGCTAATCCGGTTGCGGATCATGTTTGCAGCCCCTTTAAATGATACTGATACGCCTTAGTCGCGAAAGTCGCATGTTCCGAGATCCAGACAGTTTCTTCATCTGTTCATTTAGGAATTCTGATCGAACCAATTTAACAATTTATCTAATTGTGCTTAAGCAAGTTCATCATAAGTTGATGAAAAGATTAAGAATTTTAATTCTATAATAAAAGAATATTATCTTCTTCAATGGTAAACTTTTAATTTTATTATCGTTATTATTTGTTTGTGCCATGACATGTGTGCAGATTAATTTTTAATGATAATTAAAGATTTTGGATGAGATGCGATGACTATTCGATTACACTTTTGGGAAATTTTGAGAATTAATCAGTCTTTGAGGGTGAAATGTAATTGAAAATAAGCCATTAAACCTCGGGCAGATGCTCGTCGAAGTTATTTCTATACCGTGCACGCAGGTGTTTCTACGATTGTCCCTAGTAGTTCTACCCTCCTATTAGACACGAAACACATTCCCCAGCATTGACTTTGTGATTCCATCCTTGTTAAATGCTATAATTTCTCTCTCTCTCGGATATTATTTGGAAATTACGAAATTAAAATTGAATTATTAATATTCTAAAATATTTCTTTCGTCTATTTTGATGAGCTTGAAAGTTTTTAATATTTGGATTGAATTCTTAATGGATCGTCAAAGATTCGGAAGAAAAATAATTCTTTCTTTTATATCGGAAAATGTTTTAAATATAAATTAAAAATTATTCGATAATAAAAATTAGGAAAAAAGAAAAGAATTTATTGTTTAAAAGGTTATTTTTATATTGTAACAAGTAATATATATGATCTTTTTAAAAGACACTATATTTTAAAATAGAAAAGTGAATCGAATTCGTAACGCGCGCCGTTGTGTGCGCAAGGATTCTTCGGATGGATCAACAATCACCCCATACAGATGGTCTCCCCCGTAGAAAGAAGCTCTACCACTCTAGCCGAGATAAGTATCGATTTAAATTTCTATCTCGCCCTCGATCGAATCGCGTTCCAAAAATTTTCTTTATATCGTTCATTTCAATTAACGTTCCCGAAAATTAATTAAAATTATTGCAATCGAATTTTTTTTTTTTCAGAAGAAGAGGCGTGGTACAGAATCTAGTTTGATCTTATAATAGAATCGATAGTGGATCGACTAACTTTTCTATTCGGTTCGTGGCATATTACTGTTTGTTTATTTTAAGTCCCAGGCGTATCTTGTTTCGGAACCAGACCCAGCTGACCGCAGCCTGGCATCGTTTTCTCGTTTTATTCTCTTGCGTTACGCATCGACCTGGTGTCGGTGGTGCGAATTAAGCGAGAAAAATCGACGCCGTGAAGCGGATGCACGCAATTTCCAGAACGATCGATTCGGTTTTTTGGAATAATGATATTAATTTGACGATATTCTAGTCAATTAAATTTACGTATTTTAATTCTACCTCTTCTTTTTAGCAATTCATGATAGAAATTTGGGGAATTTGAATCTTTTGTAAACTTAATACATGAGAATTTTTTAATTTGTGAGAAAGAATTAAGGATCCGAAAAGAAATTTGAAAAAGTTGTTTTAACCGAAAAGAAATTTGATATAGTTGTTTTAACCGAAAAGGATAATTTTTGAAGTTAAATCTTTAAGCAACAGGTAAGATTAAAAATAATTAACATTGTAATTATGAAATTAATGGAATTAATGAGTGATGTTGATGGTGAATGACTTCACAAACGAATAATAATAATAGTTTTAGACGCGCCAAGAGACCACGCTGCTAGCCTTGCATCGAAATCCCCAAGCCACCCCAACGCGAAAAAAGAAGCGAAGTGCAGTCGCATATTCCGCACACGGATTTCTTTTTCTATATCAAATCATTCCATTTTACATATAAAAAATATAAATTGGAAAAGTTAAAACTGAATTGAAAAAAAAATTAATTTACCAGAAGTAATTATCATTCTGATTAAAGTGAATTTCAATTTTGTATATTTATTATTAATTTAGAAACTTTTTCAATTTAATAAATTTCAAGAAATAAAATAAAAATTTCTCATAAAATAAATATATATATATAAAGATTATCAAATATCGTATTAATTTGAAATCAGAAAAAATAATTGGTCCATCGTTATGAAAGAATAAAAAAGCCATCGTATCATCCGTTGATTTCATAAATTTAAAAATCTCTTTACCTGTTACCAAAATTGATGATATCCCACAGGATGTCCTTCCTGTCAATGATGCCTTACAAGAACGACGCAAAAGACATCCCATCGCTTCTCTAACATAGGCGGTCACCACTATAAACACCAGTACACTGGAGATACTTCGATCCTCCGAATATATCGATATATCAGTTCTCAAAATCGAATCACAAACGCGGGATCATCGGCGATCGCGCACTGGAGTCTAGCATCTTAGCGAGTCGACGCCGACGCATTCGATGAAAATCCTCACTACCCCTTCCCTTCCCCCCTCCCTCCCCCTCTCGGTGTTATAACTCGCATAGATCCCGGAAATGTCATAAGGAAAAGCGACGAGCGAAATTGCAGGCAATGGAAATAAATTGGAAGAACGGGAAGACACAAGAATTGCGACGAGGAGAGCCATGAAGGTTCGCAACGAGCATGGGACTCTGGACACGACTGATCGAGTGACCGAGGGGGTAGCATTGTAAGAATACCCCTCCTCGTGCGCTTGTATAGAATTACGTGTGTTGATCGCGCATACAGCTCTCTCCGTCCCCTTAGTTCGCGGCAAAAGGGAGCACGAAGGGAGAAGAGTGGCTCTCCGTTCTCCCTTCCCCTCTATTGCCTCTCCTACAGCCTTTCACCGTACGTATATACCCACCCCTGCGTACCCCTGCCCCTTGGACCCCCTTCGAGGCGTCCTCTCTCGCGTGCGTGAATCATGCATATCGATTTTCTTTCGTTAGTACGTCGTTCGGTAGTCGTTGCCCGGCCGTGTACGCCTCTGACGATGTACTTCCCCTCTGCTTTCGCGCGGAGAGAGAGCCCGGGGGCCGACCGCTGCTGGAACCCCTTCTGAAAATGCGCTAGTCCCGCCACCGCCGATTCTTTTTGCCACAATGGGGTAGAGTAGGTACGTTTTTAGCGGTCTCGAGATCGAAGCCATGATCTGGATAAAGGTTTCGGGATAGAAATTGGGAAGGATAAGATTTAGGGGGAGGGAAAGGGGGGCGGGGGGAGGGATAAGAAGTTCCTTCGACCCTCCAAAGAAATAATCTGTAACAGAAGTAGGAGGAAGATTCTTAAAAACGAATAAATAGTAAACGGTAGGTATCTATATAAAATTGCGATAAAGGAGAAAGAAGGTATAAGGAGAGAGCATTTATTGAAGAGCATTAATTTCTAGCCATTTAGAAGATTGCAAATTGTGAAGAAGGAAAATAGGAGATGAGGAGCCTGATGAATGAAAAGAAATTTACAAGGATTAAAATGGCCTGGTTTAATCTGACCCTTCTTCCTCAGACGCTAAAAACACTTAGAGAACCCCCTTCTCTCTTCTTTTTTTTTTTTTTTTTTTTTTTTGCCCGAGCAAAATATCCCCGTATGACGCGACAACGATGAGACGATGCTCTTGTACCCGTTCCCCCTCTTTTTCTCCTAATACATCCCCTAATCTTTGCAGCAGCAGGCCTCCGGTAATAAAGTTTCTTTGTTTTCGCTCACTTTTTTCTCTCTTCTCGTCGCGAGTTCCCCCGCTATTATTAGTAACTACGGTTAATCGATTCGGGATAATTAACAAGTTTCTTTATCACAGCTTTTGAAGTACGAACCTGTGATTTTTTAACATAATCAGAAAATTAGTTTTTCACTTTTCACCTTCATAACATAGTATCAAATCTTTTATTATGCAACTCTATAAATTTAATTTTTTTTCTCTGCTTTTTTTATGTGAAATGTTTGTAATTTATTTCACAAATCATAAATTTCAATAATTTTGATTTAATTTTAGATCTTTAAAAAAAAAATAAAAAAAAGATTTTTATATTTAAAAAGAAAATTTTCAAAAATATATTAGCAGTCAATTATAACTTTTCTATAATAATGCTAGATAGGGATGCGAGAAGAGAGTAAATAGTATCGATTTATAAACAATTTCTTTAATAATAAGTAAACGATGACAGATATGGCGCCTTAACACGATAGAAATAACGTTTATGTATATATACAATTGTACGACATTTACAATAATTTTACACTGTCGTTGAAAATAATTATTCATTAACGACAAGAGAATTAAATTAACATTTTACAAACTTATAACTTACCGAAGAGATTTTCTCCAAAAAAATTCAAAATAAATAGAAATTTTATATTACCTTTTTTCCCTTACTACATGCGGATTTAAAATGGCACAATACATTGAAAATCTTTTACGAATTAAGTATATATTCGCGACGGTTTGTATGATAAAGAATAACGCCGTCGTGAAAAAGTTGGTCTTCTAGTACACGTGTAAAAAGTGTTCTTTTCTTTTTTTCATATTTTAGTGTGAAGTACATCGTTGAAATGCAAATTGGAATGCACAATATCCTTAAATATGTGTGAAATAATTAAGAGATTCGTTAAGTCGAAACCTACTGTTGAAAGTGCTCGAATTAATTCGTGCATTTTTTTTTTTTTTATAATTATATCGTTTATTAGACTTATTTGGCCACTGAATTACTGCACTTTTTTACTTGAATATACATATTAGAAATAGAAAGATTATGGTTCAGAAAGTTTTTTTTAAACTTTCAATTTGTTCCCAGTTTGAAAAACGATTTTTGTTCTTTATTCTTCTTTTTTCACTTATTGCAATGAAATGGACTGAGATAATAATGTACATGATCGCTTAATTTTAATAAGTTAGATAATTTTCACATGAGCATGGATTAACGTCCTTTATATTTTACAATTCATCTAGGCATGAATATTGGTTCCCCTAATTTTTTCTGTGAACTATCTATTCGTCTAAATGATTTCTCCAAATCATTTACAATCAGAGAGAAATCAATTGCTCACCCAAAAATGTTGAATAATCATAATAATCATTTATTCCACTATCTAGTTCCTGTTCTTTGGCGCAGATAGAATTCGTTATGAAAAGATTCATAAACTTGTTAAATTCCAAAGAACATTATTAGATCTTAAGATTTTTTATAGTTTTTGTTTTGTACTCGTGGTGAAACTGAATAAAGTTTTCGGAAAATATCCACCAAATTATTCTGAGGAAACAGAGTCTCTATAATTCCTTCTAGAAGCACGTACAGAAGTCTCCTATTGAGCACAGGTCGTTGAAAAAGTTCAAATACTCTCAGAAGGCCTTTCCTGGTTGTTTCACTGCCTATGATATGTTTCAATTCATCCGAAAGACATGACAGAAGAGCAATCTTGGCTGCTACTCTTGTTCTATTTTTCATTTCTGTATCTCTGGGCGGTTTCTTGTCGGCTTTAATTCCATTGGGCCAAAAACTATTCCTATAATGTAATATAATTAATATAATGTAATATAATGTAATATAATGTAATGTATTATAATGTAATATAATGTAATATAATTAATTAATTATTAATAATTAATTATTTATGGTAAAATGTAAATTTACTTACTTAAATAATTTTAAATAGCCTGCTACTCTAGCTGGACTTGTTAGTAAAGAAACATACTCGACTATTCTTCGATTTACTATATCTCCAAACATTGTACGAATGATTTGCCTCAGTAACGTAATTATTCTTCGTCTAAGCCATTGGTTTCTTACTTTTAGATCAAAGATTTCATCCATTAAAAGCAACATTATTCGTAAAGGAATGTTATCGTCGGTCTAAAATAGGAAAAAAATATAAATTAAGATATAATAATTAAATTTGATTATTAATATAGTTTAAAGAAAAAAAATAAATACCTCCACATCTAGACTAGCACCAACTTTAGTGTTTTCATATAAGGCGCTTGATTTCTTTGGATTGCCAAAAAGTTTACTTATATTATCCATAACTCCATCTACAGTATTCAACATATTATCTGGCATAGTTTTCACTGCTTGAGTTACGGTTTTCATTGACGTTTTTAATGGATTCATCAGAGTATCTATCTATATTAAATTAAGAATTAAATATCTTTTATAATGTTTTTATGTATATGCGAAATGTATCAAGTAACTGAAATTCTTTGAATAAAATACTTCTAATTATTTTTATTATATTTTTTAATTGAAAAACAATATAATTATAAAAAATACATAAAAACAATATAAAAATATATACATTTTTGTCTATCTTTAATTATTTTGTTTAATTAGTTGTTGAAAAGATATTTTAATTATTACACTTACTGTTTTGGATATCTGTCCGCCGGTAACACCTTTATCGTAATCCCCTTGTTCCAAAAAGTTCAATAACAAATTTTGTAAACCCATATGTCCCTCGACAATAGCTGGTTTCGTTAATTGATGCAACCAGGCGTTCAACATCAACATTCTTCTTTCCAAAACAGTTCTCTCCATATTATGAAATGCCTTTTTTGCCGGAAAAGGAATTTTTGCCAGATCGTAATATTTTTCTTTAATTTTTTGATGAAGATTGTAGAAATCAGAATATCTTCTATAAATGTGCCATTTTTCTTGATAACCAGAATCATAATTTTTAGTTACAGCCACTGCGTAGATTCCATAAGTTTTTCCACGATCGTTAACTATACCAGTCTCAATAATTTTTGCAGTTATTTCAAATTTTCCTTGCTGTAGCTTCTTAATGGCATTCTGATCATAAGTATTCTCATCTAATTTAACAAATTGATCTACATTCGATTCCAAGAAAAAAGAAATGTCTTTACCCTCAGTAATATGATCTGTATCCATGCTTGCTGCCTTCCGTATGCTTTTCATAGTTCTCATGTTAATTTCAGAATCAGGTTCAATTGTTCTGTTTTCATTTGGCTCTATAATGCTAGCTAAACTTGTAGAAGAGTTAGATTTTAATTTACTGTCCTTTAATTCAATTTTAGTGTCTTCAGATTTATATATCTCAGATATTTCATCCAAAGTTTCCAATTCATTATTCGTACTTGATAAACTAATACTGTCCAGAGATTTTGTATCTTCTTCAGATGTTGGATCTTTCAAAAGATCTAATTCAGCGAGAAGTTTTACATAAGCTACAGACTTTTTAAAACCTGGTAGGAATCGATCTTCATTTTGCAATTTTTCATAACAACAAACTCTAAGATCATCAAACCATGTTTCTTTCACAGACTCAGTTCTTATTCTATTCAATAAAGTTTTTATTAAGGCATCATCCAATTGTAACTTGAGAGATGCTTTATCACCGAGATATTGCTGATAGATTTTAGTAGCTGCTTCCTTTAAATTTTCCAAATCTGTATTTTTACGTTTAGTACCCATAAGACCAGGAGTTGTTTGGGCTGCATGTAGCTTTTGTAATTCTATATTCGATATCTGTTGTTCTGCTGAAACTCTCCAACCATAAATATTCAGATAAAAAAACAGATACGATTCTGCATTTATGGAAGTCATATAATCAATGAAGTAACTTAATGCAATATTATTTTTTAACAATTCATCTAGAGGTAAATTCACTAGTTTTTGTCCGGGTATCAGTAGCCTATTCCAATCAGGCTGAGCACCAATTCCATCAGCCTCAGATTCCAATCCTTCCTGCATTCCGATAATCCTAGTTTCCAGAATTTTTTTTACATAAAGCAAACTGTTTAATTGTTGTTTTACTAATAGATCATCCTCTCCCCCAGAATCTTTAGAACGAAGATGAGCTATTTCTTTACAAACTATATTTTTTGTCGCTGTTAATTCATCTAAGCTATCCGTTACTTTGATCACTGTTAGAAACACATCACTGGGTAAACCACCTTCTTTAGCACACTAAAAAAATGAAATTATTAGATTTTGTTTATAATTTTTACATTGCCTTTATAATATACTTACCAGCCATATACACGCCTGATTAATATAATCAGGATCAGAAAATAAATCCAATAATGGTTTAATTATCACGTTTACTAACAATTCCCTCAAAATAAATCTCACAGTCAAGCAATCAAAGTCTCCCTTTGGTAACACAAGATATAACAAAATTTCAGATATTTCTCCCAGAAATTCGAGTTCTTGAGTACTATTAGTGCACAAAAGATCTCTACAAATCAAATTATTTTCCATTTGTACTTCCAAATCAAAGAATATTTTTTCTAATGATTCTTCCTCTTTTTCTTCATTACTTTCAATGGGTTCAGTAAGAGAGCATAAATTGGGAATGTAAAACTTAGATTGGGAATACCAAAATACATCCGTTTCGCTTTTATTTCGTCTGTGCGTTGGTATCTTTTTAGGAGTACCACTAGAAGTACTTGAACTGGTACTACCTTTCTGTACTTTTTTCGTTCGAAGTTGTTTTATTCTTGCTCTTGCTTGTCTATACAACCTAACATGAGAAGCTGCATCGTCTACGAGGCGTGTGGTTAAATATGGTATCCAATCTACACCTTTCACTCTAATTAGAAAATTAAATTATTTTAAAAAAAATAAAAATAAAATTAAAAAATATTTTAAATTGTATATATTATGTACCGATTTGCAATATTGATAGCTATTTTTTGAGCAGTATCTCGAACAGAATATATAAACTCTTCATCATCTGTAATAACGCTGTACCATGGTTCCACATAATCTCTGATTACAAAATCTAATATTTCCTACATAGAGGAAAATTATAAATCGCTATGTTACTCTTTCTATTTTACATTGAAGTACATAAAAATAATAAAAGTTCATAAACTGATTATGTACTTGCAGGGACTCATCAATAATACGGCTGCCAGTGATTCTTCTATCTAAAGTAAAAGTCATCTTCTGTTTAGATAGATCTAGAATATACTAAAATAAAAAAAGAATTATTAAAATGTTTAAATACTAATTTAATTTAATATCTATTTACCTGTCGTAACTTTTCAGTCTTCTTATCTAAGTCTTCTCTTTCAGATTTAACTGCATTGTCAAGATTTGCGCCATATGTTCTATATATACATGTCATTATTCTACAATAAAAGATATAAATTAATGTTTTTGATTAAAGGAATACTATATAAAATAACAATCATATATTGAATCATACCCTAAAATTAAGGCAAGTAGACAAATGAATAACTTCACAATCATTCCAATTCCAACAATATATACTAATAAAGCAGCTACAACTCCAAGAAGTCCATATAGTGGAACGTTCATCTGTAAAAAAAATACAATATAAAACATATTAAAATAAAATAGCTATATTGTAACAAAGTTTAATAATAATTCCTGATTTAGATAATAAATGAAAAATGTACATTACTGGAAATTTCCTATTTGATGGTCCTTATCAATGATCAGTATGATGTACAGTTTTCTTCTCGCATTATCGCGAGGTTGAATTTTCATTTATTCTCACCGTAGAATTTTATTTTCACCAAATCATCTTTCTCCATTTTAATTTTTTTAATTTATTCAACATCAATATCATATCACAATACATCATTCAACAATTGTCAAATTGACATTTAGAGTATGGATCGGAAGTTCAGATTTGAGTAAATATAAGAATGAGACAAGAAATAGAGATAGAATTTCTCAAAATTAAATTTTAATAGAATAAATAACAAAAATATTAAAGAAAAATTATTTCATCAACTAGTGCGTACTCAATAAGAAAATTTGCGCACATTAAAGTAGAAATAAATGTCGACGAAACAATATGTTCCGTCTGCTACGGTAAAGTCAATCATTGGACACGCGCGCGCGCGCCATTCTTGTATGCTTACCTTTGGATTGCCGGAAAAAAGGTTGTGTACATACAACTACGCACATATTGCGGTCCTCATACGGTTCATTGCACAAAACAGGTCAACTAATTAACAGTTTATTTATATCTTTACAAGTGAACATTAATCCAGCAAATACGTCCGACGACATGTCTGATTAATTCTAAGTATGAATGTTAGTGGCGCTTTCGCGCGCCAACTTTATGCATATTACACGTACTATTCGATTATCTATGATTTAAATATGATTCAATTTTGATTAATTTTTATTTTTTTTAATATTAATTAATGATAATTTAATCTCAAATTTTTTCATTATTATACAATTTACAGGAAATTTTAAAAATAATTTTAACGAATTAAAAAATATAATATGAAAATAGATCTTTATTCAAGATCACATATTATTGTTTATCACTTGATATTAATATTTTGTTAATAAAAATTAAATTATATAAAATATATTGTGTAATTTAACAAAAAGCAAAATTTGAATTGATTTATAAATTTGTTTGATTTATATATACTATTTAGTTGATTTAATAATAGTTATATTATTTGAAAATATATCATTTTAAAGCATTTTAAATACATTAAAAATATATAATATATATGTATATATACAGATTTTATATTTTACATTAAAATTTATATATAAATTATTTCTATAATTACAATATTAATTTGCTTAGATTACATATTGTTTATACATTAATTAAAAGAGTAAACAATTATTTAGTCGTTGTATAAAATATTCACTGAATATTTATACCCAATAAATTTATTAGATAGATTTTTTTATTAATGGAAAAATATACTTTTTAATTCTTTTTCACAAAGTTTTTTAACGTCATCTGAAATAAAAATTATTATTTTTTATATTATTCTCAATTATATAATTTTAAATTAGAAATCAATATAGATATATCATAAAAAATATATATTGTCATTATTACCTTCTATTTCCATTATACTTGCACTTTTTTGTTGAATAACTACAAAAAATTCTCTTAAATTCGATAACTTTCCAACAACCCAATAATCACTCATAGTTTTTATGATAATTTCTCCAGCTTCTTTTAATCTAAAATTATAAAAAATATTTTTTTATTAATCGTCAAATAAAAAATTTGTATTAAAATTTTGTTGTATCATATACTAACTTATTTGTATCATTATATATATCAGTAATAACTCTCAATACTTCAGATGTTGTAAGTACATTAGAACATCGCCTATTATCTGGATGTATTGTACTCTTATAAGCTAAATTAAGTTTATTAAAATATAAATATTTGCAAGATTCTGAAGAAACTATTACGTGTTTAGCACATTGTTCTGCAACAGAACTAACGAGTGTAGTCAATTGTGGACCAAGAAAATTATCAAGACTTTTAAAAAAATCTATTAACAAACTTGTTTTACCTGTAAAATAAGCATATTTTTTATACATATTTTTTATATATATTTTTTAACATTTTTAAAATAAAAAACGTTTAAAATTTAAAAAAAAAAAAAGAATCTTACTATCAACAAACAGGCATATTGTAGCACTTAATGCTCTATAAACAACCAAATATAATGAAACTGGTTTTGTAGAATAATTAATAAATACTTTAGGAGACTTTCCAATTAAACTTGGTTCATTAATACTAGATGGTCCAGTGACAAATCTATAAGATTTATATAATTCATTATATTGTTGTACATAAAAAAAATAAATAATTATGTGATTACTAACTTTCCATAATGAATAGTAGTAAATGGTGAAGGTGAATTTCTGGGCAATGAACCCTCATGAAGTTCTTTCTCAAGATGAGCTGGTAAAAGTGTACTTACTAAATAATTATAAACTACTTGCATATCTTCTGGTTCTAAGCCACTCCTAAAAAAACAATGTACAATAATATAATTTAAATTGTTATATATTATAATATGATATTTATTTATAATACTAACCATACAACTTGATCATTATAAAGAAATGCAGTGTATTTTACTTGAGAAAACATAGCTTCTACAAGATTCATAAAACATTGAACTCGTAAAAATGTTATTTTATCAAGAGGCAAAAATTGTAAACCTTGGAAAACATCTAAAATATCACTGTTATTTAACTTTAAAGACATTAAATACTGTAAAAAAAATGCATTATATTAAAAATTATATTAAAAAAATATTATAATAAATATTCTTGAAAATTACATTTACCCTTGAATAAAAATGTTCAAGTTTATGTTTTAATAATGTTATAGAACCACATTCAGGTTCATTAATAATAGTATCAAATGATCCCATAAATAATCTAAACATAACATATGCTTGCTTTAATATAGCTTGACAAACACTGCTAGAAACTTCATCATACTGATATTCTGTATATTTATTACCATCTTTTTCTTTCCATATATATGGTACACCGACAATCTACAAAATGATTACAAAATTTTAAAATTTTACCAAATATTCAATCTTATATAAAATATAAAATATATTTTTCTTATTTTTTATATTTTTTTGTGATAATAATAAAAACTTACCATTACCATCCAAAAATTTGGTTCTGGTTGATAATAAATTTGACGAGTTTTATGTGTATGACAATAATCACATGGTTGTCCAGGATTAAACGATCTAAATTTAAAAAAAAAAATACATAATGTATTACGAAATGTTAATATGTAAAATGTTATATGTAATTATTAATTTTTGGACTTTTTTATTTTAAAATTAAAATACCTACTGTGCAAATTTAATAATTGCTTCACTGAGACCTATATTTTTAATTTGAATATCTAAGTCTCTTTCTGGATAATAATAAAGTATTTTTTTTTCTTCCTATAGAAAACAAATAAAAACATATAAAAAAAACTTATAAAGATTTAAAAAAATTATATATATTTCAAAATTAAATTTGATTTACTTGCCTCTCCTTCTTTTTTTGCATATGTACCATTAAATATATAAAAATGTTCTAATGTAACCTCTGTTTTTGATGACATTGTAATGAATAATTTAAACAAAAGATAAATATTGTACCTTTCTTAAAATGCCTAAATTTTGGCACAATAATATATATTTATTTGCACATTCCTAGTTTAGACATTTTAGACATTAAATTTAATTAACAAATTAAAAATAATTTCAAAATCATAAATGAAGTATTATCAACTATAAGATATAATATAAATTAAAACTTGAATAAATATTAATTTATTTTAAATAGAATTAGATAAAATTAATGTAAGAATTTTATTTTATCAACATTTCAGCACAAACGAAATGTAAGAAAGATATAATATTTTATAGGACTTTGCATGTTCTGAAATACCGATCGCTCAAAAAATCAAAGTGGTATGCCCTCTAGAAATTATTCAATTTAATTTCACAAAAATTGATAAAATCTCATTAATAAATAGATTTTAAAAATAATCTTTGATATTTTTTTTTCGTAAATATTCTTATGTATTGTATATATTGGATTATATTCATGGTTTTTTTGATTGTTACAAATAGTAAAAAAACTTATTGAATGAGTAAATTAAAAATTACACTTATATTTTTTAATATAATAAAAATAATATCAAATTATGAATTTTTTTTATAAAAATGGATTTAAATGTAATACTATTCAAGTTAAATTTATTTTTATATATTACTAATAAAATTGTAAATATTAAATAAAATATAAATATTTATGCAATGCAATCAACAAAATAACGTAATTTGATAAAAAATGAAAATATTTTATTATTAAAATCATATGAAACTTGCAAATGTTCCACATTTCAATTTTTTTTAACTGATTTTCAATTATTAATCAAATATAACGCTGTTTCTTTAGCACATAAATTAAAAAAAAATATATAATGTAGAACAAATATAAATGAATAATAAAAGGATAAAGATAGAATAATTGGAGAAAAATTGGAGAATTAACGTCATCTCTAGAATGTTGCAAAATGAAATTAATTAATATAGTCAAAAAGAATAAATAATAAAAGGATAGAAATGATAAGAATTGACTATTACCGCCATCTTTTAAATATTTTTAGAAACATCTTTGACGCTGATGACCAATTTTTACTCTATTTTATCTTTCCAATATCTTTCTGGGAAAATTTTTCATTCAAAAATTTTTTTATTCAAGAAATGATATTAAGAATTAATTATTACTCTATCTCTTTGTCTTATTATTTTTTATTCTTGTTTACGTACAGTTTTATTTGGGATAGTCTAGAGATAATACTGATCTTTGAATTTTCATTCTATCTTTATCCTTCTGATGAAATGAATAGTAAATATGAATTTTATTTTTAATCATTCTGGAACAACAACTTAACAAAATCACGCTTATGTAAGAAAATAATACAAAAATGATACTTTCAAATGTAATATATATTATATGCAATTTCCTGAATATATGTATTTTGTTAGGTTATATTTGAAAACAATTTCTATTTGAATTGTAATATTGTGAATATTATCGTACTTGTCCACATGAGATTTTCTTATTTTCTGGAATGCGTAAATAATCGAATTTATGCAATTATATATCCCATGATCTAAATATACGTTCTTATTGCTTCATTTTTTTCATTTCATTTTTAATATTACTTCTGATAGTCGTTCTGGTTGTCCTTATTTTCCACTCTTCATAATCGGGATCAACGGGGGGCAATTGTAAAATCGCTACTGACGACAGTGAAGAAATTGTTATTTTCACATGAAAAAATGGAATTATCTTTTTCGTTAATTCATATGCTTACGTTATGTTAGTAATAAATTGTGAATTGATCGTTGACTTCTTCAATGGACGAAATCTTCTATAAACGGAAAAAATATATTAACAATATGAAATGTCATCTGTGTGATTCTTCATCTTTTTGAATGCATAAATATTGAAATCGCTAAAATCACACCCACAAACTTACATACTGCTTTGGAATAATATAACCAGAGGTATTTCTGCAGATCCTCGTGCCGCTGATATATCTCCTTTGATTCAATGGTTTAAACCGAATTTGGTCGAAGTGGACTTCGAAAACAGCTTACCATCATGAAAATTCTATTTATGAAACATTTTTTCAATGAAGAAAAATTCTGATTTTCTTACTCAAATTTACTTATTCAAAATTAAACAAATTTCTGCACTTAATAAAATAATGAATTTTTCTTATGAATTGCCATTATAACAGAAAAATATCTAAGCGATTGCCTAGATCGTGAATTTTGACAGATTTCAGGATTCGTTCGATGTAAATGTCCCTAGATGATTGTAGAATTCATTATCCTTTTGAGCTGAAACGTCTACATGTCTTTGATATATACGAAAACATTTGAATTAAAGAAGAAATGGATTGTATTTATAGTAAACAAATCTATTTATTCAGAGATTCATATAGAGTAATATAAACTCTATTAATTAACAGATTTATGTTAAGATAAATTTAAAACATTATCTCTTTAAATTTTGATATCAATCGCGATTTGAGTCGATACAAAAAATAAATTATCGAATCTAATATCCTTGTATCATTATAATTTCATTTCAATCATCTATTATTATCGCTGTTTATTTCCGATAGCCATTATTATTCTCTATCTAAAGTTAAAAGCTATACAATGGCGATGAACGAATATCTTAAAATTTTATTGATAAAAATTTTATTGATAAAAATTACATCGGTCGGAAATAAAAATATTATCAATTTAGTTTCTTTGCTGCATATGAAGTTTCGAAACACTTGTTGTTTGTTTTTTTAAATATGATCACATCATTGATTTTATACAAATTAATATAATAATAATGATAATATTGAAAAACTTTCTAACCTTTTAAATCTTATTTATCTATCTGTATCGATTGATTAAAAAATAACAATATGATAAATATTTCTCAATTCTTCATTGCATTATATCGCTATAACAAATAATAATATTAAGATTTTTTATATATATAATTATATTATATATATATATATATATTAACTATATATAACTGTATATATATTAATTGTTTTTATATATTATATATCTATTGATTTTTTAATAAATTTTAGTTTCATGAATATTTTTTAGCCTCATGCTTCTTTCAATCTTTTTATTTTGATATGTTTAATAATATGAAAGTAAACAAATTTTCATTTTTCTTAATTAAACTTAATATTATATATTTATTTATTTATATAACTTATTTATTTATATAACTTATTTATTTATATTCTCTTTATACTTTAGAAGATATGTGGTTTTCTAACTATATTTATATCTTAATAATTTAAATTAAATTAATATAAATATATAATATTTATAATATAAATGCACTTGTTTCAAGCTATATTCGTAACACTAACATATAAAGAAGAACGGGAAAGACGGTGCATAACAGATTTTAAATACAAAAATAGTTAAAATTTGTTCATAGAAATAAGATTGATGTAATAAAATATCGGAAATAAATAAATAAATAATTAAAAAGGTTAATTTGAAATTATAATTTAAACTAATGCTTACACTATATAAAAACACATATGCTTACACTACCGCACAAAGCAGATGTTGCTTGATAAAAGCAATATATGTGTTTGTACTATATATATACTATATATATAATTATATTATATATGTACCGTATATATAAATTTATATAATATATAACGTATACGAAGTTTCGCGAACAAATCCGATCTTGTCCGATACATTTAGCAACGATATAACTTATGTTAAAATTAGGTTTATCCATAGTTGCAATTCAGTGGACGTTTTCGCAGGATCTAAAATTGCACATTTTGAAACTTCTATATAGGTAAGAATCTGTTAACTTATGAAAAAAATCAAATTTAGCAAAAATATTTCAAATGATATATCAATTTTTTCATTATTTATTTCTTTTTTTAATTTTTATATGAAATTAAAATTCCTGGTATTTTTTTTTATGTATTTCATAATTTATTATATTCTTAAAATTTTTATATAATATATTATTATAAATATAATATAATATAATATTATAAATATTCAGAATTTATAAGAATATAAATTCTGAAGATTATAATCCACATTTATGTACTTATTTCAATGATTGTCATGCAAGTATCATATTGTTAAATATAATAATAAGAATGTTATTCAAACATGAATGTCAAATAGACGAATTTTTAAAAATTTTTTTAATGAAAAATACATAAGATTTTTATAAAGATAATATCAATAGAATTAAAAATCGTGCATTGCTAATTTAAACGTTCATTCTTTTTTTATTGTTCTAACGAATTGTTTTAACGAATGAAACAGCATAACAAGGTCGTACGTTCATTGTCTATTTTTTGCTCTCGTACCATAAAAAGTAAAAACAAAATACTAATATTTATTCAAAATTTTCGTAGAATAGATTTAATCTTAGAAGCTTTTCTAATTTTATTTAAAAATATAATTGAATTAGATTAAATTATTTTGTTAATTTTATTTTTATTTATTATATATTTTATATATATTATATATTATATTATATATTATATATTATATATTATATATTTTATTTATTATATATTTATTATATTTTATTGTGGAATTATCTTTTCCGAATTACCAGTTGGTCATCTTGCTGGAATCTATTAATGACCTGATGAAATCTTCTAACGAAAACAGTTATTAGTTTGGGAAGAACTTATTTCTCTAACAAAAAAATTTTTTATTATTAATCTTATTTATTTATCTATTTTCTATGAAAATATACATTTTTATATTATTTTTTATATATTTTTATATATTATTTACATATTTTTATATTTATTTACAGAAGAATTTCCTACTGTACAAGAGATGTTACATGGAATACAAGTTTACAAGAAGATCTTGAACAATTGTGATGTAGAGAAATGTCTGATTAAATTTTAGTCTCGCACAGAATCGTGCTAACTGAAGCTTTAACAACATTCATAATTAATATAATTAATTTATATATCGATGTCACACGGAGAATTACGAAAGAATACATCAATAGAATCCTTATACATTTAGGGTTATTTCTTGAGCCCAATATTATTCAATTTTGCTATTATTATTATTAAATTTTTTTTTTAAAAATTACATAAGTCCACCAATCTCTCTCAATCAATTAGAATGGAATCTGATATTTATGTATATATTTTACTTTGTATTTATTATATTATATTTGCATTTATATTTTTTATATTTCTATTTTATTTTATTTATCTTTTTATGAATTTTCAT